AGGAAAAAGAAAGGATAACAATTTCCTGGTTTTAAGCATTTCTAGAAATGCACAGTTTGGTAACTCACCAGTCCTACATTTCCCACAAAATAAACAAAAAGCGTAAAGTAATGCATTTTTTATCCCACCACTAACACCCATAACTCTGACCTGTACTGACTGCTTCTCCTTCACTAGTGACCTCAAAATACAAACATCACACAAAACCCTTTGAAAGAAGATGTATAGACCTTCAAAGGACACTCAGAAATGTTACATACTACATATCTCTTTGGTTGGTTTTGGACCAGCAAGTGCAGGCAGGTGGGCAGGTAACTATATAAAATCGCAGATGAAGCTGTTTACAGCAAGCAATGAGAATGGTGTAGCACCCAGCAGCCACCTTTACTGTTTGCAGAAGTCAAGTTAACCTTAACTCTTGCCCCACCCAGCGCAACACAGCAGCTAGCAAAGCAACCCACCAGTTTTGCATACGGGTTAATGGCCCCCAAAGAATCTGATTCAATCTGCAATCCTGGCAGATGGCAATTTCAGACAGCGCTGGGCAGCTGTGGGGCCCTTGCAGGTGCTCACCAGCTCAAAGAGAGAATAAGAGTGAAGTTACTAGTTTAGTCATGACTCTGAGCACTTGTTCTTTTTCTCCTCAGGAGGCTCTGTCGGTGGTGAGCGACGACCAGTCCCTCTTTGACTCCACGTACGGCGCTGCCACTCACCTCCCCAAGGCAGATATGACAGCCTCAGGGAACCCTGACTATGGCCAGCCGCACAAAATCAACCCTTTGCCTCCTCAGCAGGAGTGGATTAATCAGCCTGTCCGGGTCAATGTAAAAAGGGAATACGACCACATGAACGGATCAAGGTAAGGAAAGACCGTTTCCACATCTACCAAACCTTAAACAGAAGCAAAACACGTATCGCCCATTCGTGCTCTTGTCCTGCATATCAACAAACTCCACAATTTGTGTAGGACCATATCCCACTCTCCCTGGGGTTCCTTTGTCACTCATCTTTTAACGGCCTGAGGATCTTGCTCTTGCGGTTCTGCAGTGTGCATCTCTACCAGTCTCCATGAACGCTGTACAGACTGGGACATGAGACTGCCAGGACAGAGTTCATGCTGCAAACACTGTTGTAAATTACACATTTCATCACTTAGTTCAGCATCCCACAAATGGGCCATGGTTCAAAGGGCTCCTGAAGATGGAGTCGGTCATGCAGTAATAGTCGGTGTTTATACCAGTGCTCCGGAGTGAAGCAGTGAAAGCTGTGCTAGCGGGCCGTACGGGCTTCACTGGAGGGCACTTCTCATTGCATCTGTAACTAGGCTCATGCTCTGCCGCAGCAGAAGCAACTATATGACACTGGAGAGCTATTTGATGGAGAAAAGAAAAAGAGGAGACTGAGGTCCTTTATGGCAGTCTGTGAGGTGTAACAAAACAAAAGGCATATACCCACGTCTTCTGTGTGAATATATGCAACCACTGGTGAAAAAGAGAGTTCAGGAGTAGATTTGAGCAGTGATGTTAATCATCAAAGGGCCACTGGTTATGATGTATCTTCAACAGCTTTTAGCCAAAGAGGTAGGAGGCCTGCTCCCTACCATTGGTTGCCAGAGCTGAGGGAGCTGGATCATTTCCCTGTTCAATGAGAAATTCAAAGACTTGAAAATATTTTATTATCACAGCTCAGAGTGTCTCTTTTAAAAACATTTCTACGAGTCCAAAGCCGAGGAAAAAATTGCACCATCTCAGACAAAAACTGTAGGTGTAAAAGTTTCAAATTCTGTCAGTTTTAAATATATATAATAAAGAAAAACTATTTTATTTTTTAGCATTAGGTTTTAGAGTTCATATTAATTATAAATTTGATTTTTAATGTCAAAGTCACAAACATCTCTAACATTTGCACCATGTTAATACAGGACAGTTAAACAATCAAGGGTTTTTCTTCTTTAGGGTTCGTTTAGGGCTTCTGTAGCAGCCTATTTTCCTGGTTTCTGAGAACCTAGCAAAGTGTAGAGTTTGAAACAGAAAGCAGCCTCGCACTTTCAGACTTCTGTAGTGAGATGATGGTGTTAAAGACTTCAAACAGCAGCATGTTTTTTTTCCTCGTAAGTATACAGTAGATGCTGATTTTTTTAGAAGATAAAGGTGTTTGCGTCAGTTGGTCTTTGATGGTGATCATTTGTAGACTGAATTTGATCTTGCCCCGGCTGTACCTTAGTATCATTTCTGGACTTCAGAAGAACTGCATGGATTTTTGCACTAGTGTTTGCAATCTCAGAATCAAGGCTGAAACATGGGAAAATTAAGTTATTTCCTGAAAAACACCATCCCTGGATAACACAGGATGGATCTTGAAAGTGCCAGCAGGCTGGGGTTTTTTGATAGTCACAAGGACTACCTTTGGCTACCAAGGCTAGTCTTCTTAAGCCATCCCTAAAATCTTCAAGAGGGCTATGCAGTGTTGGCTCCTGACCGAACGAGCGAGGCTTGTGCCTGGTGCTGTGCAGGTCTGACTTCTCCATCCTGTGGAGAGGTGAACCAGTCATGAGAACTGAGGTGGCAGAGTCAGCCTCACGGATGGCGCAGGTAACACGCTCCCACGATCATGTGAGGAAGCCCTTTGTAGCATTGCATCGGTTGCTCACACCCATTGCGTCAAGACCAATACACAGAGTGTTTCCTCCCATTATGCTACTTGTCTGTCTCACTCTAGCAAATTTTGGAGGGCCAAGGGAACAAGTAGTCCTATCCCATCCACTGAGCTACCACAGACGCCACTTATTAGTGCCTTCCAGACCCTCTAAGCACATGTTCTGTATAAATTCTGTATGTGTGGGTACTTGTATGTCCAAAAGTCTACGTAACGTTCTCATTGAATGTGTGCTGCCTGTCTTGGGCATCAAATGTATTGGGCTGTCCTTCCATTGTCATCTTTGTGCTACAATGTCCTCATCCGCTCCAAAAAAAAGGGAAATAATACTGCTTTGACACACTGATTCATTAACAACTGTAAGTGCTCTGATACGCCTAGAGAAAGGCCCTCTAGAAGTGTGTTTATTCTGGGCAAAAAGGAAATCCTTCTTTATGGGCTTGCTCAAGATTACAGGATTCTTAGGCAGAAACTAAGTGTCCTCAGTCTCTCTAAAAAAGGGGTAACAACTTCCCAACCCGTTAGGAAAAAAGAAAAGACTGTTTTGAATGTCAGAACTAAGCACTGAAAGAGCTTCCAGTCTTGCCTTTTGATAACTTGTTAGCACAAGAGCTCCAATCTATCCAAGAAATGAGAACGTTCATCTGACTTACCCACCCTCTCCTCCTATTCATGGCTAAAAAATTACCCTTTTCCCCCCATGTCCAGCACAGTTCCTTGTTACGGGCTGGGCCGCCCCAGTTGCTTGTTCCTCTGCCCATCAGCTGCCTTGCAAAACCGACACAGTATCTGAGCGGCAAATGCCAATCTCAATACAGATTAACTTGAACTGCAGACTGAAAAACAAAACCTGTTCCCCCTCCCTCTCCCTCTGCCTCTCCTTCTCTCTCTTGTTTTTCAAGCACACTCTCTTACCGGGTTCCAGCTGCCTCATTAGAGGGAGCAGCCTTTATTCTGTGTTTCACCTGTACTCGAAGCGCTAGCATTTTCTGCTTGTTGAGAGAATGGTTTATGTACTCTAGGGAGTGATAAAGCTATAGGAAACCTGACAGTGGAGGGAGCTGGATGATGGTAAGGGACAGTGTCCAGTTTTTCTTCTTTTTCTTAGCAACCAGAAGCAGGTCTGACTGCCATGAGGTATAGCGCGATGAGTTGGTTTGGTCCTCAGCAGGGCAGGAGAAAGGGGTCTTTGAAGAACCTCTCCAAGCCTGTTTTGCAGAGCCGGCCCTCCAAGTGCTAAGCAACACAGAAACTCTGACTGGCTTTCTACCCCATGTCAGGTTTTCCTGGTTTACTCCCAAATTGGAAAGAATTTCCCAGATAACTGCAACTACATATCCTCTAACTGCGTATAGGGGGTATTCAGTCAGCGGCAGGGATCTATGTCTTAGGGGAGAAGATGGGACTTCTGTATTATTGCAAGGTTCAGAGGTAGAAATTTTGTGAGAGTTTCTAGTATTATCAGGCCTGGATGCAGTATACAGCCTCAAAATCTGTCCTTGCCTTCACAGACACAAACCCCAGTGCTACGCTTGTGTTTCACAGTGATTAGCGTCCAAACACAAGGCCGTTGAAATCCAACATAGAAAAATAAAAATCCTCGTGCTTCTTACACCCCCTTAGGCATTGGGAAAGGGAAATGGTCTCGTATTTGTAGCACTGACCTGTTGCACACGAAAAATGGAAGTCCAGCTTTCCCATGGGTTTACTGCAAGATCTTCTGTATCCTGGTCATCGCTCTTTGCATCCATTCAGGGACTGGAAGCATGGCTCGCAATCTTAGTTCTTTGCTGGGTTTGTGTCTTTTGTTTATTTTGCTTATAGCCCATTCAGGGAAAGATCTGCCTCCTACTATGTGCTTGTACAGTTCCCAATGTACTAGGATTTCTGTTGGGACCTTTAGATGCTTTTGTGATATAAATACGCTCATTTCTATTTCTAAAAAAAAAAAGAACCAAAAACTTTCACATTTAAAATTCCAGTTAATAAAGGAGGAGGATTATTTAGAAAAAAGCTGGGTAAAGTTTAACCCAATTTACAGTCCATTTTAATAATATGTTTTTCCTTATATTTTACATAAATTCCAAATGCGAAGAGCAAACCAAACAACAGACGTTCCAAATTTTGACTGTATTTACTGAGCTACTACAGATCTGCATTTGGACCTAAACTCAGAGAGTGATTTTTAAAAAGACATTGCAAAATCTGTATGATCTTCAAATGTGAAAGAATATTCTAATGCGCTGGATGCGTGCATGGATGCAGGCAAACTTCACTGTGTATTTCCAACTGATGTTAGGAATTTTGTCTAGCTAAAATAATGAAGTCAGTGCTTTGAAAATGCTTTGGAGACATTATCTTCCTTCAGAATATTAAAATAACGCTAAGGTTCAGGGATCTCAGACCATTTTTATGCCACGATAATTTTCTCAAAACAAAACAAAGGGACCATCTATGATGTCTAGAAGAATAAAAATCCCCGTTAAGTAGCGTGTGAGCCCTCTAGTGGGATTCACTGTGTTGTTCTGGTCCCCAGCCAGAGCAGCAGCCTGCAGTTACCTACTGCTTGCATTTACCTGTATGTGATAAACACCATTCTCTTAGACCCTACTGAGCCTCTGTGCTTTCCTCATGCAGTTTAAGTTTTGTAACCTGTAAGTCTTTTTCCACCTTTTTACAGCTTCTTTCTGCAGACTTACAGTCTTTTTCAGTGTGAACCTCCTCCTGAGGCATCCCTGAGAGCAGGATGAGAGCAGGGTTAAAGTGCAGTTAGATGCAAGTTTCGAGGAGCTGCTGATAGCTCTGGTCACTGCCTGTAGGAGGGAACCACAAGCAGAGTCGCAGTATGTCTGTTCTTACTTCCTTCACTGAACAACAACAACAACAAAATTACAATTGAAGTTCAAGTGTAAAGATTAAAGCTGAGATGATCAAATGGGGACTTACACCAAAAAGTGGCAAATTTAAAAAGAAAAAGATGGGAAGAGAGGAGGAATGAAAGGATAGGAAGAAAGGGATAGAAAGAAGGAGGAAACATCCCACTGACCACAGCTGAGTCAGGTTCAGAAATCACTGAAATCCCTTGTTTTGCTCTTTCGAATGAAAGCCAAAGGTGATTCCTAGACAGAGGCCCTGGGACAGTAATTGCTTTATTTCCAGGTATCTGGAACGCAGGCTGAAGCTGTACAGAGGGTTTATTAGTCAATGCCAGGCTAGCTGCTTGTCCATTTTGGCCAGTCTAGCATAAACTTTCCCAAAACACCAAGCTCTTGGCATCTCCAGAGACTGCTACTGGAGCTGCTGGAACGAAGTGTCTTTGGATGGACAGTGGGAATGGGTACTGCTTCATATTCCTTGGCCTCTGTCACTGCCACAGTGAATATACTTAAGAGATCTTGTGAAAGCAGCCTATATCCATTTATCTTAGTAGATCTACAACGTTTTCTGCCCAGAACCTGAGCAAGTCCAGCATGTATAGCCACTTGAAAGTCTGAAGTCTCTGTGAAAAGTCAAGGATTAATCTGGCATCTGAAATCCCACACACAAACCATTCCAAATAATGAGGAAAATTTTATATAAATCTAAGTCTGCTTGCGGGTAATGCATGAACCAAGAAAGGAGCTATATTCAATGAATACACTATTCATGGCTCGCAGCTCCCTGTTCTCATTTGATACTGTAGTTGTTCCCCACACTGAATTCTTCTTTGTGTTGCCCACAGCTACACCTACCTTCTGCTGCGATACTGTTAAATCCCTCATCTTAGGCTGGGGCAGTACAGTAATGGGCATCCAGGAGCTGCAAAGACGATTTGGTCTGGTAGTGCTGTCTCATTTCCCAATAAAAGGTGCCATTTGGCTCCGGTAGGAAATGCTGAGTTACAGAGGACACAAAAGTAAGGACCTTCCCGCTTGCTGTCATTAAAGATTTCATGGTATTTTTCTTAAGGGAAGGACAGTTCGCTCTCCTGCCCACTTAAGAGCTGACAATGCTATTCCCAGTGATGTCTGTCCCTCTGCTAGCAGATCAGTTCGCTCTGGATCCAACCATCCTGAAAAATTCCTCAGAGGGAAGGGAGGCATGTACTCAGCCACACGGACACAACCCTGTCAGGTACATGGAGCACATTTAACATGTCCCGCAGGATTAATGGAGTGGCTTCTCTTCCCACAGTGGTAAATCAGTGGTTGGTAAGGACACCTCAGTCCCTTAAACTTCTTTTCAGATCTCAGCCTCTGATACTTGGTTGTCTGGTTTTGGCCGCAGAGCAAGGCAGAGGATAAGCAGGGTCCTAGCTGCCAAGCCGAGAGTCTGCAAAGTGATGCATCATCACAAAACCGCCGAGGAGATATCTTACAGTGTTGGTGTTATTTTTGTTACTTCGCTGCCTCGGTCATGTGAACGTGCACAATACTTAGCAGAGAGAGCAGAGACAGCCAAGGACCCTGTGGTCTTTTCATGTGTGGCATTTCATGCCAGTATATATGCATGTATACTCCTAGGCAGATAAGCTTTGTAGAAGATGTACTTACCTGAGAGTCTGGATACACCCCGTAGTTCTGTATGACTATTATATATGTAACTATTCTATCATAAATATTGTGTATTTCAACTGCGGGGGTTATTTTCCAGGGAAATTTAACTACAGAGCAGGGGGGTGAGAGTGAACCCATTAGAAGCACCTTAGGCAGCAGGCGGCTGTGCCAGCGCTGCTAGCACCTGGGAGGTGCCGACTGCAGGGAACTTGAAGAAAATTTTACTGGTGACTCTGAAGAAGGGACAACTTCATCCCAAAGGCGAGTGGGAATCCATATGTCCTCACCGCGCGGGGACGCGTGCGTTCGGGTCTGTCCCGCCAGCCGGGCCGCCTGCGCCATTTAAAGTCAGCAGCCGGTGTCCAGGCAGGGCGGGCGAGGAGGTCGGTCACCTCCCGGGGACGGTCAGCACCGCGCCGCACAGAGTCTGACACCTTGAAGCACGGATGCTCTCGCCATTTCACCGAGTCTTCTCAGGACAGCCTGTACCTCGGGGAAGAATAAGATCCTTTGTGCTGCTTCAGGGCTTTTTCTCTGCCAGTAAAGGCAGCATTTAACACCTGACACAGAGTATTTCAACAGAAGGTTAGAAATGATCGCATTCCCTGTGAAAACCCTGGTGTCCCTGCAGTTGCTCAGACTCTCCTCCGACTGCCACGGGGACATTAAACCTTCAGCAGTTTGCCTCTCTGAAGGCGGATTTTGGTTCCCTGCCTGGAAAAACAGTAGGCGAAATAGTAAAACCTTAAATTCAAACATGTGTAAGTTATACATCTTATTTCCATTTTCAAGCAACATTCCCTCAGCAAGACATGAGGAAAAAATTACCATCTGCCTTAGAATATCTCGGTGGAGCATTTATCTCCTAGCCATGATAACTGAATTTCAGTAATTTCTCCCTCCCCCCCCATTCAGATTAAGAAACAAATTTGTTTAGTGTCCAAACTTGGAAGTCTTGCCAGCTGAACTCAGAGGGTGGGATTTGGTGCACTGTCACAGTTCTTACCCTTCAGCGAATGGTTTCCTCCCAAGTCACTTTGCTTCTGGCAGAGAAGAAGGACGGCCGTGCGATTAAAGCAGCGGACTAAAGTGCACTGGATACGGGCTCTGTGCTCCCTTTGCGTAGAGGCTGCACACTAAAGCACCCTTGTAGAGGTGAGGGCAATAACGCTGCCCTTCCCTGGTACGTTCTTCAGAGCCGGGATGTGCTGTGTGCATGTGTCAGGCTGTGGACTGGTATTTTAAGTGACCTCTAAAGCTAAAAGCATGAGTTACGACTGCAGCTGGAGAAAAACAAAATCTGTGCTCCCTATCTGTGGTTTGGAGGCTCATAATTCTCCCGGAGCAGGACAGAGAAAGCCTATTGCTTGCCAAGGGTCTGCATGTAGTCCAGGTCTTAGCACAGTGCCACCTGAGTTGCTAAATGTTCCCGCCTCATCACTCCATCGCCTCAGAAGTAAAACTGGGGCCAGAGCTTTTTTCGCACACCGTTTCTGTGCTCTGAAGTTCTTGACTCACGCCTAAGGCACCTAAGATTTCTAGATCTCCTATCCAAGCAGCAGACAAGCCTGGGACTGTTTCACTGTTAAGAATAGACAAGATCAGTTACATTCAGCCCTGTAAAAATAAGACTCTTTAGATACCATGCTAATATTGTAGTATTCTCCTGTGACTACCCTGTCATTTTGGCATGGGTATTTTGTGTTCTTTGTTAATGAAATGAAGGTGGGTGTATCTGTAGCTCTGATCAGCTCTGCAGAAATGCCCTAGGTCATGAGGTGAGAAGTACAGCCTTTCTGTCAACTGACAGACTCCACTATAACAGAAAGACGGTGTGCGGGGTTGTATTTAACACAACGCAAGAGTGAAACAGTCCAACAAGGGCTCCTAGGAGCATCAGGCTGTGTCTGAAGGATTGCTAAAATGCAGCTGAGCGATGAAGGGGGAGTGGGGGCTGTAACCAATAGACCTATGCGGTAGGCGCTTGCTTTTTATCCAGTTCATAAACGTTGATATTTCAGAGGTATCGAGTACGACCTTACAGCTACCATTGCCTTTGTCTGAAAGCCACTCGTCTTTGCACGTCCGACTCTCTTTCCTCTGACTGATTTCATTATCAGAGATCCCCTCCATGAGACTTGTGATTCACAGATCACCTTATGACATTCATGTGACAGGCCAGGAATGGCCTCTCCCACGTGTAAAGAAACTCCCCTTAACTTTTCGCCTTCGGGATGCTTGCCATTTCTGTAACGCAAACCTCCTTCTGCTACTGCAGGGATGAAAGGTGCATAATAATGAGAAGTCATCTGTTTCCTTTCACATTTCAGGGAGTCCCCCGTAGACTGTAGTGTGAACAAATGCAGCAAACTCGTCGGAGCAGGGACGGAGTCCAACCCAATGAGTTACAGCACCTACATGGATGAGAAGAACGGGCCTCCTCCCAACATGACCACCAATGAGAGGAGAGTCATTGTCCCAGCAGGTACCACCACCGTCAAACTCTTTGTGTCATATTTCCTTGCACTGTCTTAAATATCCAGCTGAACAGATATGGCTTGTTTATCCACTCTCTGAGGAATTCTCTTTCTTACAAACCATGTAAGATGTAAGGAAAATGTCAGAGTTTCTGGCTAGTGGGAATTTCCCATGTCCCAGTATATGTTCTACCTTGAATCAGAATAAGAAGTGGATAATTAGTGCTGCTTCCCCCACCGCCCCTCTGGAATGAAGTGTTGTTTTGGTGTGTTGAACAAAATCCATCTCCTGTCATGTGTTAGGGGAGAATCTGCAGTGCTTCTTGGGACATGCACAGTATGATCAAAGAGCACAGTTCATAGGCAAGAATAAGCATGAAGTGCACCCAAATTACAACTCTCATGATGCTCTGCAGGATCCAGATGCACTTTCATGTCATATTGATTCAGAATGAGCTATTTTGTTTTCATTTTTTTGTTGGAAGTAGAAACTCAGAAAAATTCTATTTTGCAGGAACTACATTATCCTTCCAAAAATTGTTACACAGAAACATTCCTGTCCAGTTCTCTGTTTGTATTTGATATCCACATCTGCTGTCTGAAATTGGCAGGATGCATTAGATGCATTTGGATAGTCAAGGATGAGAGCTGCTGTGGCAGGCAACCAGTGAAGTCTGAACCTGGAATAAGAGGGAGTCTTTTCCCTGCAAAGTTTATAAACACCATAGATATAAACAGGCTAGCCCAGGAACTTTCCAGCAGGGGAGATATTATGAGCCAAGTCCTGGCCCAATTTACGTACCAAAACTTCCACTGATTTCCAGGGGTGCAGCTTTTCACCCAATTTTGTGAGGGTTTCACCGAGGGTTGTAGCTGATTCAAGCAGATGAACTGTTGGCAGAAAGAAATGTACTTGTGAAATTTAGCTCTGTTTTCTGATCGTGGCTTGACCACAAACAGATGACAATTCCCAAGCATTTGTTTGCCATTTAGGATGAAAAGGAAAAGCTTGAACTGAATGTAGTGAAGGGAAGCCAATAAAGGATTGACAGCAAATCTTGAAGTACCATTTAAGCCGTTGTTAGGATCTGCTTAGAGAGACTGGCTAATCTAATTGGTGACAGCATCAGATACATTTTCAGCATCAACTTTGCCTAGAAAGGTGTTGGCTGATACCAACTAGTCATTATATTATTGAAGATATTCAAGAGGGAACATTTATTCTGCTCTTCACCATGCTATTTATGCATATTTAAAAAGACCAAGGGTGGGCTAAAGTTTAGCATCGTTGTTGAAATAGGGGAAATGACTTTTAGTGCCCTCGGTGGAAGAGAAGGTTTAAAATCTCCTCTTTGAAGGAAAGTGGAAAAAAGGACTTTTTTCCCCCTCATGAGCATCCACAAATCAAAACCTTGAGATACTTGTGAAAGAGCAGTGATTTACCAGACTTTGGAAGAGAATAATGAACATCATCCCAGATCTCTGGCTGCAGGATATGAGGCCAAATTCATCCAAGAAAGGCATTTGGAAATTTTAATATAATCCAGAGTAAAGATTTATAGCACATTAGGGTGAAGATAGGCAAGAATAATGTCACATTAGGCTTGCAATAGTAATAATAATGAACTCTAAGCCATGTTTCAAGAAGGCAGTTTTTCAGAGACCATTCAATGTCTTTTGCAGTGACAAATAGGCTGAATGAATATCTGAAATACAAAACTGTTTGTTTAAAGGGAGACCACAAATTCACTATGCCCTCTAAATGCTAGGGTTTTTTTTCAAAACTCAAGACAAATAACTCTTTCAATTAAAAAAAAAAAAAAAGAATCTTCCCTTGAATATTTGCATTGTAAAATATGCAGTCTTTTGCCAGTGCTTAGGAAGCAGAATTTAAATTAGCTTTTGCCAAAACATAAAGGAAATCCATCTTTCTTTCCCAAAGCAGACTTGCAAAGGTACGGGGTTGTAAGTTCCATGCTTAGAATTCAGCTTTAAGCAACCCAGGTTTACTAGAAATTCAGTGAGGAAATGTCACGGTTATAATTTTAATATTCCTTGGTCTTACTTCTCCATTTCATGTTTTCTTTCTGGAACTCAGGTGCCCAGGAATGCACCAGGTATAGCCACTACCTGACCTTTTGTGTCAAGGGATCCCTGCTGCCCAAGTACACACAGTTTACAGTCCTGGGCCAAGGCATTATTTTATACACGATAAAATGTGCGGCAGAAGCATTTCTTGTCCCTCCCCAAAGCGCAGCCTACCAGCTGTGTGGAGGCTACATGATTCTGATCCATTTTCTCAACTGCCTCAGGACCTGAGGTGTTTGAGGTTTATCTGAGAGGAATGTACCAGCTGTGATGGACAGATCGAATGTCTCCAAAGTTTAAGCTTGACTTTGCAATTCCTCTCCAGTTGCAATGGAACATGAATTTGCAGCTTAAATTTTGAAATGGGATACATGGGGAGAAGCAGCACAGGAAACATCTGAAAATGCAGATATGCTCTGAAAATGACTCTGTAAAAAGGGTATCATGGCACAAATTCTTGCTGGGACTTTATGATCTAATGCTCTTTTCGAAACTCAAAGGATGATTTCTTTTTTTAACTACTGATGCAGCAAACCATCACCATGGGGTCTGAAACTCCAGCCGGGTTCAATCTCTCTCTTACGTCATCACCAGTAATAAAGATTCCACAGCTGGAGCTTTGCTGACAGTTGATAATGATGCATGAGACAGTATAAAATCCACATTGCCCTCCAATAGCGGTGTTGGTTTTACAGGGTTAGCGGAGGTAGAATTGTGTTCTTGTCAGCGGGGTGAACAAATGTGACTCAGAGATACATGGCAAGCTGTTCTGTTTAAGCAATAATATTTTTTTCAGCGTCCCTTTGCTGACCATAAATACCGCCATCCTCAGACTTTAAAATGCCATCTGTTGGGACTTTGTAACGCACTTGCGAATGGTGGTGTGACTCAAACAGCACTGATGTAATTATATAGCATTGCAGAACTGAAGCTGTGACAAGCATACCCTTTCAAAGGGATGAGTTTGCTTTTGGAAGCTTTTTTCCAGAGGGAGAAAAGTCACAGTCAAATGTCACTAATATTGTTCCTGAGCACAGGTATAAGATTCAGCCAGGTGGGAGACAGTCAAGTGAACTTACCCTGCCAGTGGGTCAGTGTGATCAATTTAGGCACACAGTGCTTGTTCACCTTGGCAAAATGCATTGGAGTCAGTAAATTAAATCCATTTGGTTGTGGAAACAATGGTTAATGCTTTGGCTGGGCTACAGTGGGTGCTAGAGGCTTGAGGCTTGCGTATAGCGTTACCATCCTTTGTGCTTTTCTGCCAGATCCCACCCTGTGGACCCAGGAACATGTGCGCCAGTGGCTGGAATGGGCTATAAAGGAGTATGGATTAATAGAGATTGACACCACCATCTTCCAGAATATGGATGGCAAGGAGCTCTGCAAAATGAACAAGGATGACTTCCTCCGAACCACCTCCGTCTACAACACAGAAGTTCTGTTGTCTCACCTCAGTTACCTCAGGGAAAGTAAGTATTGCCCTGACTCATCCCAGCCCTAGCGTGCCATGCTGATAGGATAAACTGCCATCAGCATTGAACTTCTGGGGCTCTTCTTGCAGGATAAACAGTAGCAAGGATGAGGGAAAAAGAACAGAGAAAGGCAAGCAGAGAGAGTGAACAAGGAAGACAGGAATAAAAAGTGGGTTGGAAAGTTAATTTTAACTTAGATGGAGTTAGTGGTGCTATCAGGGAGGTGAAGAACTGAGCAGGACTCTGAAGAAGATTAGATAGTCTTATAGATAATAAAAACAGCTGTGGCTGTATGATAAAAATACATAAATTTGCTGTGGAGATTAAACCAAACATTAAGTGATGGGTCACAGGCAAATCATTCCGTAACTTCACAGTTAGAGGGCTGTGCGCTTTCCCCCGAGGCTTCTGGTAAAGACTGCTTCAGAATAGGACCCACAACTGGCCAGAGTTTCTATGTTCTAGAGGCCCAGGTTTGTTGGAAAGAGGAAGAAATGAAAGAGAAATTCCCCAAATGTAAGCGCACTGAAGCAGACGTTGTGCAAATGACTCAAAGAACAAGTTTTGCTGAACCTCTTTATCGCTCCTCTCTGTCCCACACTGGAGTATGTGATAGATCCAGTACTCCTTTCTGCTGTATTAAGCCCCTAAGACAGAAGCTGTGAGCAGCCTTCTGAGCTTTCTGGAAAAGCATACCACAGCAGCCCGAACAGGAATGACCACATTATGGTTAGCATTGAGGTTGGGAGTCTTAGATTCAGACCTTTCTAAGACTTCCTGTGCAACCACAAGCGTGTCCATAGTTTCCAAATGTCTCCTTGCCATCTGTAAAGTGGAGGTAAAAGCATTTCCTTCCTTCACAAAGGTGTGCTAAGGATAATTGTGTTATGATGGGGCCAGAGAACTGGAACTAAATCCCACATGCTCCAGTATTTTTTCAAGTGAAACAGCTTTTCTAGGAGTATAATTATTTGAGGACTGAAAAATCAGGAGACGGTGCTGTAAAGTGAGGTGGGAGGGCAGGGAGAGAAAGAAAAAAGTATGTTTTATCCACTGGGAAATCAAATTGTGATGTAAAGGCAGCTGAAGATGTCTCCATCTGGCCAGTGCAATAAAGCAGCAAGACCGCATTTATTTAGGGTGTTTCTTCAAAGCTGTTCAGCGCTGGTCTCTCCCTGCCTCCGCTCAAATCAGTGGGAGTTTTACAGATTACAGTGGGACAAGAGTTAGATCACAGATGGGTGCCTCTGTAAGCCCCACCTTTATTTTTTTTGAGAAGTCGAGCCAAAGAAATGATTCACAACAAATAACCGAATTGTTGGATTTGAACAGTTTTTGTCTCTTGCGACTTCACAATAAAATAATTTCCCATCCAGAATAATTTGCAAATTTCATCCTGTTTCATGAGCAAAGAGCTGCTGGTTCACAGAACACTTCAAGTTTATTGCAGACGCAAACTAACTTTCTAAGGTTTGCATACGGAATTACACACTTTTACAGGAAATCGTAAGGCAGTTTTGTGAAGCCAGCGCTGCCTTGGCCAAACCTGCTGACTTTGGCTGGGCAAATCAGACGCTTTGTAACCGGAAATGTTTTTAAATTCCCACAAGATAAATACTCAAGTGAGACACTTGAATTGTCTCATTGATAAGACTTGAGAATTGACAGAAAGAGATGAAGAAGCAGTTGTATGTTTTTTGAATCAAAGAACCAGGCTGAATTTGAAAAGGTTGGCAGAAGAGTTGAATTCTTCTGTTGCTTTAGCTCCAGACAGCGTCTTCAGCGATAGTCTCAAGCGTTAGGGATCCCGTTACTTGGGGTGTTCAAAGGCAGTATCAGAGGAATTGCGTCCTTGCTCTCCTGGCATAAATCTGAAGAGCTGGATTCAATTGCCACCTTTACCATTTGCTGCTGTCCATTTGTTCAGGAGCAAATTCCTGATTGATCCTACCTACCTTTAGATACCTGAAGTCCCTGAATTAGAAGTCTGGTCATGCTGGTCTCTGTTTATAGAAAAGAAGTAACAGGGCACGTTGAAATTCAGGATAGTCATCCCGTAGTTCACACGTCACCTTTAAATGCCTGAAATGAGGAGGGATAAACCTTTGCCTCAATTCCTCTGTGCTTCAGTTTTACTTTCTGTAAAGCGGAGCTAGTGATCCTGCCTTCTTGTTGGTCTTGTCTGTTGAGACGGCAAACCTGTGGAACGGGGATTGTGTCTCACGTCCCTCAAGACCCAGCACAATGGCGTCCTAATGCAGTTGCAACATTAAAGTGCTGGCGCGACGCGTGCTGAATAATAATCATAAAAAAACAATGTTCTGCCAGGGGAATGCCTACAATGATTTCTATGCTAATAAGCTAGTGCAAAACCTGAGCAACTTTGCTGGATTTAGACAAATTAGTTATTCCAATTTTGCGTGGATGCATAAGAAAGGAGAATTCAGTCGCAGTCCATCCCCAGCTTTTACGATTATAAATTTCTCTCTGTTCAGCCCCTTGGGTTGTTCTAAGACGTCATGCGAGTGCTGTCCTTATTAAAGCAAGCTCCTGTCTGAGTGGAGGTCAGGCAGCCTCTGAAGAGCATTCCTTTCCGTGCAGCTGTTCCTAGCGCTGCCTAATGACAGTCTGGTTTCTGGATTGCTGGTTAACTCCCTCACGGAGTAACGCCTTCGAAAGGAGCTTATTGTTTTTCCAGACTGATTTCCAGCGGATGTTTAGTGCTGAGCCTCTGAGCTCAGTGCCATGGGGAGATGGTCTTTTTTCATGAATTTTCCCCTTTTGTACGGTTGTTTGTTTCAGAGACATCCAGCTCTGCTCCTGCTTAGGGTGGAGAATACGTGATGGCAACAAATCACAGGAGAACTTTGGGGAATTGCAGATCTATAGGCTAGATTACATCTGCCCAGTCTCTCTTGAAAGGTGTTTGTCCTCTCAGGATGTTAAGCTGGATATGTGATGACTAGTGAAGCCTAAACTTCGGTGTTTGTTTTCCAAGAAGCAAAGCTGATTTGAACTTTCTGAGCCTGTTTGCTAGCCAGGCAAAGAGACTCCCTGAAAATTAGCTTCCTCAGAAGGTTTTCAACATTTCACACTCCTGATCAGAGTGAAAGCATTCTTAAAACTGACTATGAGGTACATTATTTTGGCACATCTGAGTGCAGATTGAAAAAATAAAGTGTTAACATCTGCAAGATCTCAACAAAAGCTCAATCTTAGTTTTGGAGATAGAAGGTTCAGGTGAGTTATTTAATATAGTTGAGACTAAATCAAACTCATATCGCAGCACCTTTAGTCTTCAGGCAAAACTTAGGTCTGGATCAGGATCGTGCAGTTGTTTCCTGTTTCCGTAACTGATTGAAGCAGTCAGGAATTCAGACGTCTCTGATCTTTAGGAGATTTCAGACTTGCAGAACCCAGTTCTGCAGCACACTCTATCCTTTGGAATCTCTCAAAACATCCCCCAGTAGTTTTTTCAGGGAACCTACTGCCCCCCCGCCC